CCCCAAAACCCCAAAACCCCAAAACCCCAAAACCCCAAAACCCCAAAACCCCATTCCTCTGCAAACATATTGAAAAATAAAATTTAAATTTAAGTTTTTATAATAATAAAATGGAAAGTACTAATAAAGCTATTGAAGAAGAGAACACCCAGATAATCCGGTAACTGAGGGCTTAGTTTTAGAATACATTAAATTTTCACTCTCAAACTTGTAACAAGTCCCAACACTTTAAAGTTTAACCAAAAATTTCCAACTTTTATAATAATCTCTCCGAAAATTTCTTGACCTAGAAGTTCATAGCAAAACTAGAGATAGTTTATAAGCCTTGCCTCTCTTAGATTAATTTGGGACCTCCACAGACAACATTTCTCCTAAAGCCTTAAACCTGGGAGTTCTCAAAATCTAAATTAGTACCCTTTCATCTCCAACTTTCTGATGGATTCTGACACTGATCTACCTCCTCGTCCCCTCTAATTGTGCAGCCTAGAGAAGTCTGTCCTGGCAAAAACCAAGAAGCAAGAGGTCACCACATGCCAGAGCATCCTCTATAAGGTTTATCCAAATCAAAAAGTTGAGCCATCGGATCCAGACTCCGAAGAAGTTTCAGGAAACAGTACACTTAACATTTGGTTGGGCAACATCTGGGATGGAAAACTGTTGAAAAGTTTGAAGTGTCTTAAGCTTTTTGATATAGACTACCTTGATTTGGATGAGATTGATTCTAAAAACAGGCGTTTTATTTTAAATTTCTTACAATCCTCATTCCCAAATAAAATTAAGCATCTCGATTTTTTGTCCAGTGGCCTAATGGATCTGAAAAGGTGCAACTACTTAAACTCCCTGACCACACTCAGCTCCAAAGTCGTTCATGAAGTCATCTTTCAAAATTTCAGCATCGGCCTGCCCCAATTCAAGAGGCTAGTGGCAGCTTTCGAGCATGTGAGAATTTTGAGATTGCAATTTTTCAGGCTATCTATCCCAAGTGTTCCTGATTTGTCAAAGGCTCTGAAGAATTGCCAAATCCAGATAATAGATTTAGAAGGATCAGGAGACTCTGATAGAAGTGACTGGAAGAATGACTTCGACGAGTTCGAGAACTTGGTACAAGGGTTAGCAAGCTCTCCAGATTTAAGATTGAGTCTTGAAAAAGTATTTGTCACTGACTGCGGAGTAAAGAATAACAAAGTTGAACAAGTTTTTGAAGAAAACCAGCTTGGAGGAGTTAACATAATTGATTTAGAATAAATTTTGGCTAAATTTCTTATTTTTACTACTTTGGCTTAAATTCTGCTTCTTCCATATTTGGCGCTTGGTGACTTTTTAATATATTACGGGGTTTGAATAAGCTGGGGTTTTGGGGTTTTGGGGTTTTGGGG